CGAACCGCCTGGCTACCGACCGATCGTCAAAGCCATAAAACACGTCTATTTTTAATTCTGAAGAAATATCTCCTTCGTAAATCTCCTTGCAATGACAGCATACCCCTTTGACATTTTTTAAAAAAGGAGGGGGTGTGTTACAGCTCATTTGAAAAGATTTAACATTCTCTTTCCACCAATATGAAGCTTTTTTAGTCTTCTGAATTTTTCGTAGAATTTTTGATGTCATGAAGTAAAGAAAAATAAAAATAAAATGTTTTTAACAAATGTTCCGAGGAGGGTTGATTAAAATCATACATTTTTCGATAGATGTCATTTGATTTGTTGTAATTAACTTTAGATTTTGAAAAACATAAAAATGTTCATGCGGGGTCAAAACGAGAGAGGCAATTGTAGATTTTATACAGAATTAATTCATTAGTTACGTACTCATCAGTCACAGTGTATAAGTATGAATATGGTAGCATATTCTTTACTATAATTTTAGCACTTTAATAAAAAAGGTCAAAATAAGGAAACTTAAAAGGATAGATACAACGCATTCGAACCCAAACATGTAAATTAATAATTTTAATGAACTGAAGTTCAGCTAATAGTTGCCTAAGATGAGAGTAATTGGACCTACTGAATTTTGGAATCATTAAATGTGTAAGAAAAAAATTATATTCAGTTATAAATTCCACACTAAATATTCTGGCGATATCTTATTTTTATTTTATGAAAGAGAGGACATTGGCAGATCAAGATCTTAAGTTATAAATTCCACACTAAATATTCTGGCGATATCTTATTTTTATTCTATGAAAGAGAGGACATTGGCAGATCAAGATCTTCAGATGATGTGATGCTGCAGGTTTTTCCGGGTTTTCCTGCAGCTGAAAAAGCAAATGCGCCACTGGAATGAATCGAGTCGCCCCAGAGCGCCAATTAATTCTTGTTGATGTTTCATAATTTGTTTTACTTTCTTTTTTATGTTTATAATAATAATTATGTATCGATAGATCCTAACCAAATAGAATATCTCACATGATTGTTGTTGAAAAAGCAAATGCGCCACTGGAATGAATCGAGTCGCCCCAGAGCGCCAATTGATTCTTGTTGATGTTTCATAATTTGTTTTACTTTCTTTTTTATGTTCATTATAATAATTATGTATTGATAGATCCTAACCAAATAGAATATCTCACATGATTGTTGTTGAATTTGTATTTAGCAATGCTCGTATTCGACTGCAATAGACTACGGTTATAGGTCTGTGTTTTTCCCAACTGCATACGTTGTTCTCGAGTTTGACAATCGTAAACAGAAGAAATCATAACAATGAATACTGTATGAGACATTAGTTTTTTTTTGAAAAATCGTGTCTCTATTTCTGCTTCGCCATCATTATACAAAAAAATATAGATAACTACCGAAGAGAAGAATAAAGTAATTGACTCCAATAAAAACTCGTTTTAGTCATTTGAACCATGGAAAAATTGTATAGAATATTTGAAATGCTCCAGCTTCTTGAGTGACCTTCAGTTAGGTTTCAGGAAGCAGTGATCAACTTGTAACTTCTTGGTATATGCAGTCAGTCCTTCTTTGAAAGTGTATCTCGTGAAAAGATATTAACCAAACTTTTACAGCTTGCTTAACGTTTCTTCTTTAGATTTCTCAAATATCTTACGTTACAAGTAATTATGGGTGGTTCTCTTCCTCAAGGATCTACATTGTTTCTAAATCCATCGTACTTCTATGATTTACTGGAAAAAACCACAGCTTCAAACCCATTAATTATAAACGATATCATTGATCAAGGCCAAAAGTTTGATAGTGGTATTGAAAGAGAAAAAATGAATTAGCTTCACCACTTTCTATTATTTGCCACCCCATAAATAGAAGTAAAAATTGATTTGTTAATGTGAAACTGTTGATTCGAACAGAGGTCCCAACATTTCTTTTGGAATCAGCATTAATTTCAATAACAGATAATTTCTATTGTTTGCCACTCGAACATTCCCGTATAAAAATGCATTTTAAGGTTCAGCCCAAGATTTACTTCATATGGCAAAGTTTCCCTGAAAGGAAATACTGCAACAACGAAGTATATTTGAATATGACGCATATGAAATTTCTTTTTCAAGAGTATCACGAAGTCTACTTCCTATCTCAGATTTGTTAGTTTATTTAACAATAATGAACGGTGATTGATACGTGTAATTGTCTTTCAAATATTTTTAGTTTCGTCGATCAAATATTTGCTCAGCGATACATTTATTCAAATCAAACTTTAATATAAAATTGAATAAGGAGAACTGATGAATTATTATGTACAAATAGTTACTTGTGGTGCACTGTTTGGAACCTTTGGTCTAGTAATTAATATTACTGGAGTTGTTGTTGTTGGAAAAACTGAAAGCTCCAGGTTTTGGTACTGGTATACTAAATTGGATAAAAAGCTTCCTTACATAACGTTTTCAGTGTGTTACATCAATAATTACATTTCTGAAACAATTCCTGTAGCTTCCGGTCTGCCACAAGGATCACATTGTGGACCACTATTGTTCAATGTATTTGTTAATGACATTGGAAATTGTTTACAGTATACAAAGTTTTATAACCCTCTCTCTCTCTCTCTCTCTTACTATTTACGAGGTTTATTTGCAGAAAGTCAAATTTGAATAAGTTTCTACTACTTTCTAAAATGAATATATATGTGATTAACGGTAAGCTCTTTCACTTGTCACCTAATATTTGAAAAGTCGAAGGCAATATATCGATCTAGGAGAACTGAATGTACTTTTACAAGGATCTGTACTCGGGTCCCTTTTGTTTATAATTTTCATTCATGACATTTTATTTCAACTCCTGTTCCATAAATGTGTCCTCTATGTTTATGATCTATCTGTTTTATGTTCAGAGAAAAACTGCAAAATGTACTTGAAATTTAAAAACTTGAATCCCAAAACAGTTCAACGCCACTTTCTTTTTAATATGGAAAAAACCCAGAAGCTAATACATTCTTCCAATAATTTGATCGCCGGATGAAAAATGGCCTAACTACTAGCTATACTATCCAAATATCTGTTTTTATTGAGGCAATTGAGAAAATTTGTGTTTTTTTTCGCAACCTATTATGCCTATTTCCATTCTCCTATAAGGTACGGTATACTCCCTTGGAGAAAATCTATTTCTGTTAGAGAGATACTTGTAACACAATAAGAGGCGATAAGTATGATTTCTAATGTTGAAAAAACCAGGCAATATAACCCTCATCAATTTTCATTTTCTAATCACACTCTTCCAACTGATTTTCACCTTCGGAAGATCTGCTGGGTTCAATCTACTTACATTTTCGAAAAATCATGTTGATATCACTCAACACAACTTTTTGCAACTGCAGTCAAGAATTCATTATAAACATTTCAAAATTGTAATTAGATATTTGTTTTGATGAAAGCTTTTATAGTATCAACGTATATGTATATGGCTGCTTCCGGATTCACCTTTCAATAGAAATTTTGTGAAACCATGTGCCTTGATAACTTTTTGAATATTTGTACCTTGTTTTTGTTATTCATTATTTTTCAGTTCAATTTTGTATTTGGTTGTTTCAGAAGTTTTATTTTTATCAGTTCAAATCAATGCATTTTTGTCAACGTAACACAAGTCGAATAATTCCGTCACGATAAAAAGTGTATGCTCGGGAGTCGATGAAGTCGACGAAGGCCGTTTTGGCCTGTCCCTGATTGGTACATTTACATGGTACATAATAGGACTCTGCTGTGATGGTTTGAGCCGGTTGCAGCAACTTTTGGTTAATCACACCAGTTGCTGACCACCATACAGTAACCATATTTTTTGTGTTTTGGGAAGTGCCTGGGTAGCTTATCTGTCACCAACCACTGTCTTAAACTTCTCCTTTTGTCGTAGAGGACACACTTTTCATCATACGTGTCGATCCGATGCAAAAAAGGATTATTTTGGTTGCGCAAAAACAAAAAAACAGACCTCGAAACGTGGCTATTTTTATCGACCGTTCAAATCGTGGGGCACCCCCTTTTTGAGCTATTTGACTTTCCTAATACGCTATAAACCATCAAAAACCAAATGGGAGCTGACACCCAGTTTTTCCGTTATCCTACGCACCGTCTATTCATGCGTCAGTCGACCCCCAGAGTCCTGGATCACCACTTCGGGGCTCATCTTCGAGGCTAAAATCTCCGAAACAAAATTTCGCAAACCAACGTTGAATAGTGCGTTAATTGAGACTATAATTGCCAAATGCTTGTTTCATTTTTCGGGGTGTTTTGGAGCGCTTTGGTTGAATTTGAATTCGTAGAGAAAACTTAGCCAAAAAACGACATATATGTATGTATGTATACAAAACAAAATTATCTATCAATCAGTATATACCACGACACAGTGATATATGGAGGTACAAAAACACATAACATCGAAACGGACAAAACTTTTGAAACAACCCAATATCTATCTTGTATGTTTTGGTCCTAATTGAATTCTATAATTTTTCCCATAATATGTTCATCATATATTGATTATTGGCTACTTACTCAGGTTCGATGACTTTCGTTGGCCTAGGAAGATAAAGGCGTCTTGGTTCGGGCGTGGGTCCTTGTGGTGTTTGAACGAATAATCTAGCGCGAGTCGCGGTGGAGCCGGCCACATTCTGGGCGGTGCACTGGTACCAAGCTGCGTCCGAGGCCTTGGCCCTCGAGATATCCAAAGTAGAGGCTCCACCGTCAATCGCGATGCGAACGTCGGGCCCGCTGGCTAGGGGCGCCCCGTCCTTCTGCCAAGTGATTCGCGGCACCGGCGTGCCAACAGCTCTAGCGTGCAGAGACACTGGTTCTCCTTCTGCCACGTTGACTGTGGTAAATCTCTCCACGAACTTGGGCGCGACTACCTGTTCCTTTTCGATGACGTTAAGGTTGCACTGGAAGGAGGTTTCTCCCGTCTTGTTCCTGGCGACGCAGGTCACTACTCCTGAGTCGTTCCTGCTCACGGTGGTGATCATCAAGGCATGGTTTCCGGATTCGTTGACCAAAATCTTGTGGTTGTGGTCGTCGGTGACTTGTCGACCGTTTATGTACCACGTCACGTCTGGATAAGGACGACCAGTGACGCGACAGTCGAAGCGGGTCATCTTGCCCTCGGTCACGTCTCTATCCCCGCAAACCCTGACGAAGTTAGGCGCCAAGGTCTTGCTGGTGTCGATTTGCTCCATTTCGGTCTGTTGCTGCTTGAAGGTGGACTCGTGGATCAACCCTTCCTGGGTGGTTACCGGTTCTATGGCTAAGTAAGCAGATGACACTATGCAGCCTTGAGGGTTCTCCGCCAACAAAGTGTAGTGTCCCGAGTCCTCAGACTGGGCCTGTTTTACCCTCAAGGAGGCTTGGTTGTTCGAGAAGGTGCTCTCGTATTTCTGCGACTCCGTTATCCTCTGGCCGTTTTTGAACCAGGTCAGTCTAGGCCTGGGGTTGGCCGATAGTTTAGCCGTGAACACGGCATCGGAGCCTTCCAGTAGTTTGGAATTGCGAGGTTTCTGCGAGATTTGAGGAGGAGCTGGTGGCCCCAAGGATCTTTCTATCGTCGTCGATATCTGCGAGTCTTTTTCGTAGGTCGTTCTTCTTGTGATCGACTCCCTGAAGGACACCTCCCTCAGCAGTCTGTATTCGAAAGTGTCGATTTTGAAGTCTTCGGTGATTGTGGTTCCGTTAGAATAGGTAGTGCTTTGTTCAAAATTCGAGAACGCTTGCCTCTGTGGCATCTGCATTCCCTCTGGTGAAATGTAAACTGAGCATATTGCTGCTCCGTACTGGTTCTTGGCGTTGCATACGTACTCGCCCTCATCACCTGGCCCAATTTGGTGTATCTGAAAGGTTATGTCTCCGGTTGATTCGTTGTACGAGAGTCGGTGCTTCTGGGAGTTCAAGAGCGGTGCTCCATTTCTCGTCCAGGTTACTGTAGGTTGAGGCTTGCCTGTGACGCGACCTTCGAAGGTTGCGACACCTCCTTGGGCAAATCTGGCGTTGCTGAACACCTTCTCGAAGACTGGTGGCTGGGCGTTGGGGCCGAAGCCCGGGATCTGTTGGATTTGATGTTGAGTCATTTGTCCACCTGGAAAAGAACAAGAAATTTATGACTGATGTCTTTCGAGTTCACTGTAGGTAAATATTATTGTCTGTTATTCAAGCAAGGCCAGCAAGCAATAATTTTGGTGGAATCTATAGGATTATATGGCGGTCCATTCTTTTACTGTTGGAATATGTTAATGTAACATAGCTCTGTTTGAATATGGTTTTTTAATGAAAAAAAAATTTAGGTTGTTGCTAATAAGTGTTGATTGTTCAATATAATCTATAATTTGTTTTGAATCATTATTTATTGATATTTATCCAGTGCGTATCAATCTCAAAAATTTTCTAAACAATAACTTACGACGTATACTATTTATGGGTTGATTCAGGATGAAGTAGACCACATACTAATGAAGTACAGGTGATAAACTCTATTTGTTAATTGATTTTTTGCTTCTGTGTACAATGAACAAATTCCATTTGAGGGTAAAAATAATAAATTCAACAAGAAAGTAATGAAAATGGCCATAGCGACAAGCAGACGAAATTAATGCGTCGTTCTTTAATTTCATCGGTATTGCCCAACCTTTTTCTCAGCATCTCTACTAACAAGTTACGTAAAAGAAATGTTCAGATCTAAATTTTAGTTCTATGTGGTTTGTAATTTGGATTTGTTTTTTTTTTGAAAAATTTGTTCTGAATTGAAATGAAATTATATCCGTTTCGAATACAACGGCAATCATTTGTTTCGGCCTTTTGCCATCTTCAGGTTGGATTAATAACAATTTTTTACATTTATTTTCGTGACAAGAAGTTGTCACAGTCGATGAAAGAATGGGATTCATTGAAACGATCATTTTCTTGAAAGATTCAAGTATAATGCTGAGTTGAAAACAAACTAATGAAGTAGCTAACAGTGAAATCATATTATATTTTTCTCTCATGGCATTTCATAGTAGAATTATAAATGAATTTCTGATAATGATTTTCTTAATTTCAAGTTTATTTTTAATTTATAGTTGCTTGAAGTTTCATTCTAGATCTTTATGAATACTCATTATTCATTGCCACTTAATTTCTTTCAGCAATTTAATGAACTTTTGAGATCTCTCCGACTTTAATTTTTTCTGATTATTCCATCGAGTGAGAACACAAATAATCATAATCAATGTATTTGTGGTCTGAGAACTTTTCTACATGTTCTCCATTTTTCAGCAGAGTGTTATTTGTTATTGTTTTGGTGGAAAAATGAGTTAGATCTTAATTTTTTGTATTGAATAACAAAATCAGGACTGAAAACAATTATATTTTTTTTCCAAAAATACCATTTTTCACATAGTTCAAAAATTATTGCAGCTTACATTGGAATGAAAATCAAGTCCTCAGTAGGAAATAGTATTTTATTGGGAACATTAAATGTAATAAATGATTTCAACCAACAACCGTTGGTCTTTATTATATCTCTACCTCCGATTAGTTGAGCCAGTATTTGTAAAGTACAGAGTTTTAATGGTTCTAAGGGAAGCTATGTGGGTTGCAAAACATTTTTTTCTGACTTATTGTGAAAGTTATTTCGTAGGTGTCGATTATAAGTTACGAATAATCTAAAAATCTGATGAGTTGAAGAAATTCTTGGTGCCTGCCCACGTAAAACATTTTTCAAATGACAGTGAGAAAGCAGCTACGCGGACCGGGCACCGACTATTTTAGATCTTGGATCGCGTTTCAAGCCTCCATTTTAGGAGCAACTATTTTTACTGCACCAATCAGAACCTCTGTCGGGTAAAGAATACTGAGTGCTCTCCTTACCGATGGGAAAATATCCAACGTCGAGTTTTTTACTAATTGTCAACACTCGAGATTCTATTCGGTTTATGTTTACAGGATTTGGATTATTTCGGTAACGATGAGTTCAGTTGATTTGTTTTTTTCATTTTGGTTATTGATTCGAAGAACTATCCAGACTGACGCATTTTGAAAGCCACTTAGTTTTCAGGAAAAAATTGTTATTTATGTGGGAGCATGAAGCTTCTTGTTTCCCCTTCTGGTATATTTTTTTTTCTATGTGCGTTGAAGAGGCGTCTGTTTTTCTTTTTAAAAATCATAATGACATTTCCATAATACGTTTTTTTTGGAGCGATAGGTCAATTCCCGACATTCTATAAACGTAACAGAACCTGAATTCTATTTACGTCTCAGAAAGAAAAAAAGTGTGTTGGGAATTTTTGAGTACAGTAAACAGCGTCAAATTGACACCATAAAAAATGCATAACATTGTCACTTTCTTCACCATCTTTTACTATATTCAAATTATAGACAACTTTGCTATTATATGAAAAATTTCTATTATTATCATTATTATTACTATTGTTATTATGAAGATGAAATTTCATAAAGTGAAAAGACACTTGATGGATAAGGCTTCCATGAGGAACCAAGACAATTGGTCTTTTTTGCATTTTTAAAATTATGTCTTCGAAATAACCTTGAAATGACATTATTTCAAATTATTGATAATTCTCATCTTTGAATATTTGTTTATTTTCTGGTAGTACGATATTGAAGTACTAGTATTCAGTAGTATTATTAGATAATGATGTTGAGACTTCCATCATGATGATGATCATATGCAGGAATCACTTGTTAAAAGGTGAGACCTCGTAAGTAATTAGCTTGCACTAGTTTCGTTCGTAGAGGGGCGATAGCTGATTAACGAAAAAACAAATTTCAAAAGAGATATCATTTATTTATTTTCAGTGGAATATTAAACGGGACAAACTCAAAAAGGGTATTCACAAATGATGAGGTGAAATTAAAAATAAATGATTTGACTGTCATAAAT